CTTCCTTCCTTCCTTCCTTCCTTCCTTCCTTCCTTCCTTCCTTCCTTTTCTTTCCTCCTTTCTTTACAGTATTTACTCTGGAGTTTCCCAGAGAACAATCATGACTCCTCAAATGGTGCTCTGAGGGGTGAGGGCTATCTAAGCCAGAAATGCATCATTGTCCTGAAAAAGGAATTCTCATCTAGTGCCTGCCTTTACTAGGGAAATCACAAACACCCGGAACTCAGTAGCAGAAATTCCATTAGAATTTAGGTGGTTGAGATGGTGCTGAATGCAATCCTGTCACTTGGGAGATTAATTCAAAAGATTCACAGATAGAGGCCAGCCTGGGCTACATGACAAGTACTAGGTCAGCCTGGTCTACATAGCAAGGCCCTGTCTTAAAACAAAACAACAAAATATTAACCATTTTTCACAATCCTTTAAATGTATTGGAAAACTTCAAGAGAGCAGTTGTTGAACAGATGACCCCAGCTACTGGCGAAAGGAAGCTGTTTCCTCCAGAACACCACTCTGCCCACAGAACCACTGCACAGAAGAGACAGAAGGGAAGCCCAAAGACCTGATCTCAGATCCCCGGCTAACCTAACTCACACATCCAGCTCCCCCAGGGCTCAGTCTCCTAACTCGTAAATGTAATGGAGTTCCTCAGAGAGTGTTGAACTCCTACCATGAGCAAGCCTCCGTGTTAGCAAAGGACATTTGCTGTGTGGTTTTAAGCAAACACAGTCTTGGCCCTTGCCTTCCATCACTTGCTCTCTAATCCTGAGGAGACAAGCAAATACAACATGACACCTGCAAGCCCATGCTGCAGCCAGTTGACAGGGCCCTGAGGACGATGAGCAGCTTAGAGGTGTGAATTACTGGGTTCCTTGGAGAGAGAACCCAGCACAGACAGCAAACAGGAGACAGGAGGAGGAGAGCAATCAGATGGAGAGGTCAGAGAAGCAAAACAAAACTTTTATTGGGAACAAAAGTCTGCCATGCCACCCTGAGGAGTCTGACCTTTAAGCAATGATAGGCCACTAAAAATTACAGGTGTCCCATCCACAATAAGACTCTGGCAGCCAAACCAGATGAATCCAGTCTCCCCATGCTCACTGGAAGCGGTCAATCCTCTCAAACGAACACCAAGGTGTGGTCGCTAATCTAAAAGCCGTCTCTTAACTGCTAAGCTGTCAGGCACCTGTTACAGTGACAACCGTAAGGCCATGGAAAGCAAAGGCATGGCACGGATTTGCCTCTTCTTTTACCAACACAAACTCTGGACCCCTACAAGGAACAAACATGATAAGCATATTCAGTCTATAAGCCCCCAAAATGCTTCTGCAAAACTGTTCAAATAAAGCTTGCTCTGAGCATGGTTATCTAGAAGCTCCTATTGACCGAGTCTCACTTACCTGTGTTCTGCAGGGACAGGGGGTGGCCAAACTGCCGGATCTCTAAATGGCTCATCTTGACAAGACACAGGGAAGTCTGGGGGCTTGTCGACTTTAAAGCTTTCTAGCGTGCTGACAATGCTCTTAACTTGTTCGTATTCTTCCAACAGTTCCTGCCGGACCTGGAGAAAGGAGCCGTTACATTAGAAGCCGTTCAAAGTTCACATGAAGTGCAAATAAATTGCTGCAGAGGGTAAACTTTCTTAGCGTTAGTCAAAATGTCCAAATGAGTCACAGATGCGTTATAAACAGCTATTCAGAGTGACGGGCGCAGAACACAGGGAGAGCGGAGGCTGCACTGCACACCCCTTCACAAAGGGAAGACTGTGTCTAATAAAGAGTGTGCTGGTTATTAATATAACTTAAAGCAAGCATTTGCATCAGGAACAAGTTATTCACCCTGTACACTGAAGATACTATGCTAAATCTTTCAATATTCTTAGAGATTAAAATAAAATTAGTCAAAATCGTCACCCCCATCCCCCATCGCCACTGTCACCAAGCATGAAATGCTTGCCTCGAGGGACTGCTAAGGACCACACAGCACCCACCCTTATTTATGATCCCCTTCACCTCAGCCTCTTTTGGCCTTCACCTCTTCTGAGTCCTGGATAAAGTTTATCTTAAGTCAAGACTTTCCCTACATTTGAAAAACATAACTGAGTACCTACACGTGGAAAGTCCTGTCTTCAAACTTGGCACCCACGCTAACTCTCAAGAGCAAACAACGACTGGAAAAGTTGTACCTATAAACTCCTTTTTAACAATTAGAGCAATTTTTAACCAGAAAGCACACTTAACTCCAAAGCAGAGCAGAAACAATTTCCCTGGAAGAGTATACTGCAAAGAGCCCCGAGGAGCTGCAGAACAATGGCCTCCCCCAGTGAGAGCGGACCGCCAGCGCGTGTGGCCATAAGACACAATATACAGGACATTACATGCCAGACCCGTGTAAAGTGCGCACAGGGATCTCTCCAGAGAAACACTCCCCACCACAAAACACAAGCACTGCCTGGGAGAGGCAAGAAAACCTGAGACCCAAGAATTTCAGCCCAAGTTACAGCTAATGCGATGTTCTTACTCAATGCAACTGGTGACTCTTCTGTTGGAAAACAAGCCCATTTTCCCTCAAAACTTAGGGAGCACTAACTTCTGACCGGCAGAGAAATGAGGGGCGGCTCTGGAAACACACCAAAGGAAATGGAAACTTCAAAGTGCTGTCAGACTTTGTACTTTTAATTTTAAAAGGATTTTAAGTTACAACAGTAGTTGGGGAAATTATAATTCAAGTTTGCATTAACTGTACTATTATATAATCAAGTTGTACAGTCAAAAAGACAGAAACGATGTTAATGTCTTGATTAGATTACCAACTCATTTGTGTTTGTAAGGGCACTTTCAAGGAAAACTTTTATGAAATAGGTCAAAACTACAAACAAAAAAAAATGAAAGGATAGACAGCAAGAAGAAACACCTAATTCTAAAAATTTGCTGGCAGATACAATTGAGCACAAACATTTTCGAAATTAAGAAAACCTTCAGCTACAATTATGTGTCCTCAAAGATTAAAATGCATGGTCAGAAATACAAAGACTACTGAGTAGACAGTCGATCAGAACCTCACATAGAATTAAATGTGAGATGTAGTTCAGTATTCAGACCAATAACAGAATGTGTGAATTCTCTGGTAATTTCCCAACTCTGCTGCAAGTTAACAGACCACAGCCGCCATGGCGCACGGAACAGTTGCGCCATCCTACCTGATGCCACTTCCCTTTGACAGCCGGGTCTCTCACTGACTGGCAGTGTCTCTGGATCTGCTGGATCACCCCCTGGTAGTACACCATCGAAGAGTCGTAATTTCCCAGAAGCGCGTACTCTCGCCCTTTCTTGGCATTGTCACAGATCTCTGCCAAATTCATCTTCCTTCAGATACCTGAACAATAAAATGCAATGCGTTTTTTAAGATTTTAAAACAGGTATCAATTTTGTAACATGTGCATCAAACTGGTTCAGAGTCAAACACTACATTTCCAGTTCTCTAAGTACACAGGAGGTCACAGAACATCCAGGGGATAACAGGGAACGCCACCGAGGTGACAGACAACTGGTTGACTTACGAGGAGATGAGGACCTGCGTGCTGCTCCTAGCTCATTTCTAACTGCCACCACCACAGTCCCATATAGCCACGAGATTCTCTTCTGCCCACTATCTCTTTATAATGTCGAAAGACGTATGTGAATACTATGAAGTCACTTAACTTTTGCTGTTTTGCTGAGACCCTCGGCCCCCAGAAGGAAAGAGTCCCACTTCAGGTTATACTTCGGAGGACAGCCGATACGTCCATCATCATCCAGGTGCCGTGACTGTGCCACACAACAGAGCGAAGATAAACTGTGAGAGATTTCTGCATCTCAATCTGTCCTTCTCCTTCAACGTGTATTTATTTTGTATAAGGAAGAGGAGGCCAGATAAGTTTCATGAGTTGACTCTACTTCCACCATTGAGCCATCGCTCCATCCTATTTGATGCTATCCTATTGGGTCCATCCATCTGACGCTGGGAATGACCTCTGAGCCTCTGGTTTCTAGGCCAGTCCTTCAGCTCGGCGATGCTGGCTTTTCTCTAGACTTTCCCAAAGCCTCCTAGTCACCCAAGGCTTCTTAGCAAAGACACTTTCTACACAAGACCATAAGCATAGAAACTCCTGAAAGACAGAGAAGAGGCCCTAGAAAGAATACAAATTACCCTACTATCTCTGTAACAGCAAGCCAATTAAATGTCTAATAGGGGAAATAGAAATATTTCTTCTTGCCTTCCTAGGAAATCACACTTTGGTTTGGGTAGCCTGACTTTCCCTACGTAGACAGTGGAATCAGCAAGCTCTGGGCCCAAGAGAGAGACCATGCCTCGACATTTACGGTAAAAAGCAAAGGAGGGGAACCCTGATGTCATTCTCTGACCACCACGATTTGTTCACGGCCATGCCAGTGCACCTACACACATTCATGCACCCACAAACATGAATACGCACACACATTCACACCATATACATACATTTAAAAAAAATTAAGAAGTGCCCAGAAGATCAGTAAATTACTTCTCTCAGTCTATCCAGGAGAATGTTTCCAAAGAAAAATCAGCCTTGGAAATAATGCCTGCCCAGAATGTGGGTAGCAGCATCTCATAGGCTGGGGACCCAGACAGAAAAGCACACTTCTCTTTGCTCTTTGGGTGCCACAGCTCTGTCACCATGCCCCTCTGCCCTAATTCACTAACTACCTCAAGAAGGACCAGAAGCATGGAGACAGCCTACCATCGACCGAACCCAAAAACTATGAGAGTCAAACAAAGGCTTCTTCCTTTAGACTATAAGTCACTCCTATCGGTCACAACAGTCTAGACTCATGCTTTATGGCTAGCTTAGCCTCGGTGAATAAACCTGTACACACAAAGTCCTCCATAAATCATGTTCTCCTAAGGTTGCTGTCCGGCAAATTATATTATTTCTGCTAATATGTACAGTCATACCATTTCGTGGGGAAAATATTTTGATATAACAAAAGGGCTGGCATCCCTTTTTGTAAAAGTTCAAACAGGCATTTAAGTTCTCAGGACTAGCAAGTAAAATAGAGGACACTATGCAAACAATTATAAGGTAAAACGTTCCACATTCTCTAGTGATAAAACTAAAAACTGTAGATAGCAGTGACTCTGTAAAGCAGGCCTCCTAATGAAAAGAATCAGCACTCTTCAAAGCTTAGACCTGAGTTAGTGTTCCCTGCCATCAATCACAAGCAGCACGCCACCAGCGCTGCCTTTAATACGCTGTGTGTGTCTCATCTGTTCTTAAACGACTCGATGGAAGACAATGTGGTCCTCCCACATCACGCTAGCAAACTGCAGTCACGTGACTTCCAGTCAGCACCGGCACTGTTCAGAGAGTATTTCAACAATGCATTCTGCAGATTATTCAAGACCAATTAAAGAGCAAGCTGAAAGGAACTTCAATATCATAGTTAAATGGATATCAAATATGAAAATTTGCCTCAGTCTGGAAAACGATGCTGAAACCCGTCTGAGCTCAGAAGAATCCTGACAGCCACTGTAAGAATGGAGATGTCAGCCAGACAGTGGTGGCACATGCCTTTATCCCAACACTCAGGAGGTGGAGGCAGATGGATCTCTGAGTTCGAGGCCAGCCTCCTGATCTACCGAGAGCGTTCCAGGACAGCCAGGACTACAGGGAGAAGCCCTCTGGGTAGGAGAGCAGAATTGAACTGGCACTTGTTTGTCTTCTGACTATAGGGAGAGCTGAACAACGCGGAGCGTGTGCAGAAACACTAACTGGCACCGCAATAATTTTTTATTGTGGTCTTGGTTTTGATCTAAGTACCTGCTCTGTCTTAGAACATGTAGGGTGAACTCATTAAGAAATATTACTGAATTTATGGCAAAAGCAAGCCACTTGGTGTTCAGTAAGAGTGGCTGACAACTTCCCACCTCCACCCGAAGCTCAAAACCTAACTATTGCTAAGCCATCAGGCGGCTGTGCAACTAAGGCAAGGGAAGGTGTTGCTCCTACTCTTGACACAAACTTACGGACCTGACAACAGCTAATTTCATAAGGGAATTCCAAATACTGACCCTGCATGGACCTTGACTATGAGAAGACATAAATATTATCTGTGAAACACCAAAGGATGAACGACAGATGACCACAGCTTAATCTAACTGACCTTTTCATGCCTCATAACCATGTCCACCTGAGTTCACTTCCATTCGACACCACTGTTCACAATCACTTTTCTAATGATGTATCTTTGAAGAGTCAGGTTGTATGGAAATATTTTGATGTCTTGAAAACTCTGTATGTGTCCTCGATGCCCCCAACACACAATGTTTGTTTAAACTCACTTTTTAATCACTTCAAGTTCAGCGTTGACTTCCCAAATAAACAACTGAGCAATATTGCTAACATCTGCCGTCTCATCAAGAGCCAAGGAAAACCACTCAAAATCATTTCTTTGGGTTTTTAATTGATTAATGGTGCCCTCAATGCTTCGAGCAACCGTTCATGCCAAAAGGCTAATCATTTTAAACAAGTTTATTTTCTCCAGACACAATTCTATGCCTGCTGCAATCCAGCTCCCCAATGGTCAATGATTTTCTTGCTTGGCTAACAAATGAGCCATTTGTAAAGGACCAGCAGCGCAGCTTCATTTCCACTTTGCAATTCTGCGAAGAGATTCTCCTGGAAGCGGGTATCCGTGTGAAAGCTTGCTGGTTCGACCGGCCTTGGCTATCTTATGCAGCTTGGCTATGTTGGGTTGGCTTACTCTGGTGACAGTGGTATATGTATGTACTGACTGCCCCACTTCAGCACGGTCCCTGGGCCACTGCATAAGCACACTGCTTCATCCTCTGACTCGTTGAGATCTAAATGTTCCAAATGCATTTTTCTACCTTTCCTTGTTCTGAAATGAGTATGTACTACTAATTTAGGTGTCAAGTTCAGCACCAAGACTCGGCTGGCAGCCTATCAACTACTTGTATCAGGCCTGTGCAAATGCCACTTGGTCTCTGACACAAGTCCTTAACTCTGCCATTCCAGAGAGAGGCAGTCATAAGCAGTACATAAACAGCTGGATGGGACTGCATCCCAATGCAGGGTCTTATGCATAGATACTGAAATCTGAATTTCCTTCCATTTCTATGAGTGATCAATATACCAATATTTTTTTTCCCTTCAACTACTAGAAAAGGGCAAAAGTGATCCCTAGTTCTTGGGTCATTCAAGAATAGCCTGCTGGGTACTGGCCCCTAGACTGCCGTTTGCTGGTACCGGCTCAGAGCAACCCATCTTTCATTTTAGGGCAGGAGGGGTTAAACCCCAAAGAGGCAGAAAGGGAAAACATAATAAAGAGAAGAAATCGTGCCAAGGGAGCTGGGTAATGACTTTAATCCCAGCATCTGAGGCTGAAGCAGCTGGGTTTCGAGGACAGCCTGGTCTACACAGTGAGTTCTAGCCAGCCAAAGCTAGAGTGAGACCCTGTCTCTAAAATAAAATGTGAATACAGCAACCAAAACTTTAAAAAAAAAAACAGAGAAAACACAAAACACTTCAATGTGGCCAAAAGAAGATTTTTCAGAAAGTTCAATAAAATTCATCAGCTTCTAGTGAAGCTAGCTAGGAAAAGTGGGAAACATTACCAATCGGAACTGAGGGAGGGCTAGCATTGCAAACTTCGCCAAACAGCTTACTGAAATAGACAAGTCTGTGAGGTCACAACACACCAAACCCCCTCCAGAGAACCTGAGAGCAACCTCACCTGTCTTGTATCAGTCGGGGAAACTGAGTCTGTTATTTAAGACCTCCTCAAACCACTCCAGACCCAGCAGCCACACGCAAGCCCTAGAGAGTCCTAAAGGTGGTTGTTTTTACTCTTTACTCTTTGTTTCCTGGGGGCCTGCCACCCAGAACCCAAACAAATCATTGTTCTTTCTCTTTTTTATTATTATTTTTATCATTATTCTTTCTTATGAATGCCCAGTCTTAGCTTGGCTTGTTTCTAGTCAACTTTTCGTAAATTATACCAGCTACCTTTTGCTTCTGGGCGTTTTCCTTTTCCTCTCTATATCTTACTTTCACTCTTACGCCATGAGTAGTTGTCTGGTTGGCCACTAGCATCCTCCTCCTTCCTTGATCCCTCTTGCTTCCCCCCCCTCGCATTTATTCTTTCTGCCTGCCAGCCCCACCTATTTCCCTCTCCTGCCTAGCTATTGGCCACTCAGTCATTTATTACGCTAATTAAGTGTTTTTGACAGGCAAAAGTAACACAGCTTCACAGGGTTAAACAAACACAGCATAAAAGAATGCAGCACATCGTTACATCATTAAACAAGTGTTCCACGGCATAAACAAATGTAACACATCTTCAACACAGCAAAAGACGTTCTCCAGAAAGACGCAAAAATAATTTCAACTCATGTTTGAAGATTGCCATCGATTCTAAAACCAGACATAAGAAAACTCCATGCCACTATTCCTCATTATTGTGGATACAAAATGTTTACATTTGAACCAGTTCTGCACTGTATACCAAAGGTCTCCTCTGGTCTCCATGGAGACCAAGCTCTCCTAAGAGGTTGTGGAAACCACACCGGTGGTTGGATCATGAGTTAGACACACTTGGTTGAAGTCTCCAGTTCACGACTTTGGACAAGCTCTCTAAACCCCTTTCGTCATCGCTAAGTAACAAAAACTGGTTCACATTTTCTTTGTAGGGCTTAACTAAGGACCTCAATGCAAACCACTGTGTATACGCATTCAATAAAGGGGATCATTCTTCTTGAAATTACTGTTCCCATCACACAATGGTGAGGAAATGAATGTATGCCACGTACGAGATGGTCATCTTCTATTCGCCTCTTTAGTTCCACCACTTAACATATTAGCTAGCAGTAGAATAGTCTTACATGTATTTTAATGAATAAAAATAATACCTGAAATCTCTACACTGTATAAGACCTCTTCTCCACCCCTACAGCCTTACTATTTTACCTCCTTATCCAAAAAACAAAACTAAAGAAAAAAACCACTACTTTAAAATGTAAATATGTCAGCACAATTGAGAGAAAAATAAGTTTAGTACTCCTGGTCTTATTTTTTGCTGTTATTTCTAAAAACATAAGCATACAAAAAATAACAATACAATAGTGTCAAGAATGTCCCAACTTACCCCATATAATACCAAATATGAGGTTATCTATCTATTGAAAACCTTAATTTAAAGGATGCTGAGGACCACTTTCCAGATCTGTCAGCTTTCTTCCCATTAGGCCTTTGACTCAGTTCTTGTGACTAAGCTGTATTCCATAGCACGGCATTTAAAACAGTAATACTTTTTTAAAAGATATGGCATAGCATGTTTTATTTTAAAAACATGGTCCTCAGAAATTCTGAAAAAAAATATTTAGGATAACTAAGGAAAATACCACATACCGTCTTTAAAATTTTTACTATTTGTTTTAAAAATTAACTAACCATTTAAAGTTTAACTAGACTTCAAAGTACAAACGTGCAGGCTGATGAATGGGGAGCGGAGGGGGAAGGGGCGGTCATTATTCCACAATACTGAACCTTATAACTAAAATGCAAAACGGTTTAAAAAAAAAAAAAAGGCACCGCCAGATAACAGAGGCATCGTTTATCCGCTCTCACGCTTATCCATTTAAATATTACTGTCCTCTGAACATACACTAATGAATGGGTTTACTATGCCAACAGCTCTGAGCTACTTGAAAATAAACAGAAATACCTAGAGATTCACGGGGAAAGGCAAAAGGCCTTTTAATGACGGGTTCGTCGGGTCTCGCATAGACCTTGTGCGGTACAGACAGTTCTGCACCAAGGGGCAGCGCCCTAGGAGGCCCAGGCCCCGCACGGTGGCGATGGGGCGGGGCCGCGAGTGCAGTGGCTGCCGGGCCCGAGCGCAGCACTGAGGCCCACGGCTCACCTGCGCTTCCCCAGCCCAACGCACCCCGTCGCGTTCAGCGACCACCCCGAAACCCCCTGCAGACAAAGCCCCATTAACGTTCTGAGGTCCGCTCCCAGTTCATAAGTCGGTCGCCGCGCTCGGAACCGCTGGGCTTTGTAGTTCTTAGGACCGAGTCACCCAACCTAGGAGGCGAGCCTGGAAAGCCATAGAACTACAAGTCCCATGATGCCCTGAGATCGGGACCACTGTCCCCGCGACTCTCTGAGGAGCGGCCTAGCGTAGGGCCACCAAAGGGATGCGGACAGGGACTGCCCACCTGGGCGCCGCAGCCCTGCTCTCCCAGTCACGCCGGCCCCTCGGGCTCACCACCTAGATCCTGCAGGTCAGGGCTGTCAAAAGGGGTGGGGCGGGGCGGTACCCAGCCAGCTGCCAACCGGAGTCCGTTAGTTCGTCGCTTGGGCGGAGAGGCGGCGGCGTACGGTTGCCATGGCAGCCGTGGCAGCGCTGCGGGGAGGGCGTGTGGCTGAGTCAGCTCTGGGAGGAGCCTGGGAAGACGGGCTGTGGGGAAGGATGCTCAGGGGCCGGACCCGAGACCCGGTGCAGAGCGTGCTGCACCTGCCACATTCTCTCTGGACGTGTGCGGCGGCCAATCGCACAGCTCCTCGATCCAAGGGCATGACCTCGCTGAGAGCCAGCCTTGTGGACTGGAGGCCGCTCGCAGCCCTCTCCTGCCGTTCTCGGAGTAGTGGGGTTGGAGAGAGCCTTTGCAAAAGATGGCGTGTGCACACAGCCTGCAGGAATTCGGGACTCGTTTGGAACTCGTACATGGTCCTGATCCCCACCCATCTAATTCAAAGCTATAATGTGTCTTAGGTAGTCCTTTGCCCACTCACCAGGATCGCCATTGTAGTGTGGGCCTAATAACCTGGGCTTCTCACACAGCGTCCTGGCTAACTGCTTGATAGCTGATGACTAGGGCACCTTACCTATCCACTCCGACGTGTAATCTGCAAAACGGAGATATTCCTCTGTTCCTGTGAGAAACTTTAATGCTGATGAAGCAGTATCAAGGTCTGGCACATCACTAGGAGCTTTTAGATATTAGTTAATCCAGCCAAAACACGGGGCTAGCCATTGAAGATGGGTTAGCCAAGGGGGTAGTTGTCCTGCACTGATTAAAAAGTGCTTTACCTTGCTAAAGATGTAGTCAGGGAAGTGTGTGTAGCTGTCAGAACTCAGTTCAGATCTGCACATTTTACTGTACTCAAGTTTACCTCAAAGGGAATGTAACGAGAGAGCTCTAGCAGAAATCGTAGGGTATTCTAGGCCCAGTCTCCAGCTTTCATAGATGAAGAAATTAGAACATTAATAAGAGGAAGAAGCAAATAATTGGCTTTGGTGTTTTCTCATAATGTCTTTCGAGAAATTAGGACTCGGGTGTGGCTCGTTTGTTAGAGTCCTTATCTAGTGTGCGTGAATCTGGGTTTGATCCCCACACCACAAGAACGGAGCATGGTGGCACATGCCTGTAACCCCGGCACTCAGAAGACTGGAGGCAGGAGGACGGCTGTTCAGGATCAACCTCAACTACTCAGAGTTCAAGACCAGCTTAGCATACGTGAGAGCCTGGGAGAGGGAGAAAATGACAGATAAATTATGGTGGACCTGGGCGTAGTGGCTCACAACTACCTGTGATCTAGGGTGTGGGAGCCTGAGGGAGGAAGCCGACCTCAAATCTGAGGTCAACCTGGGCGACAAAGTGAGACTGTCTCAAAAACGTGGGGAAGGAAAGGGAGGGTTGAAAAAAACACAATACTGTTTGTCAGAGTCACCTGTCACAGAGGCCTTGTAAAAACTGGTTCAAGTTCGTTGCCCACCTCTGTGGGGACACTCACCCAGTCTAAGACGTACTGTCCATGGGGTACACAGTCTCGGGGTCACCTCTAGTTCAGAGTTCTTTCTCTGAGCACTTAAAGCTTCCTCACATCTTACCTGCAACTACCCCTCCCTCTCTTTCTCTTTCTCTTTCTCTCTCTCTCTCTCTCTCTCTCTCTCTCTCTCTCTCTTCCCCTCCCTCTTGAAAATCAGTCTCCTCTCTTTGCTTATTGGCAAAGCACATTTTTCTGAAGGTCTGGAGTAGGTGGTTTTTAATGAAACACACACACCTAAAATTAGAAATCCTTCCCCTTAAAGGTCCTTTGTTTCCTCCCATGACATTTTCATCCACAGCTCCTATCCCTTCAGCAAAGCCACAGCTTGCCTTTGTCCCCCATTTATGAGTGCCGTTTCTGCAGAAATCCTTGTCCTCTCTTTGTGCGGTATTTTTACATCTCCCAGCCAGTGTTTTCATGACTGCCGACCATGGCTAACCTGGTTACCAAAGTATTTTCCTACACAGAGAAAATTCCCTCCCCAAAGGAACTCTAATGCCAGGAATTACAGGGGTTTTCTGCCTCCGCCCCCAGGGGCTGTGGAGATGGCACAGTCTATAAAGTGTTTGTCATGAAAACACAGACAAAGTCTTGAATTCAATGCCCAGAAGCAATAGGGCAGAAAAAAGCCAGGTGTGGCAATGTATTGTAATCCCAGCATGGGGGAGGCCAAGCCTAGCCTACTCAGTGAGTTCTGGGCTGCAGCAGTTTTGGTACCTCTGGCCTCCATATGCATTTGTACACACACACACACACACACACACACACACACACACACACGTATACACGCACACGGTGTTTTTATATCATACTCTTTATCCCCCTATTGATTTGATCCATATGCATATGACCCGTCTATCTTCAGAGTGGTTCCAATTATTAATACTTTTACTACATCTGTGAGAGTTATTTGTCTAATAGAAGTGTGAAGTCGGGGGCTGGAGAGATGGCTCAACGGTTAAGAGCACTAACTGCTCTTGCAGAGGACCTGGGTTCAATTCCCAGCACACGTATGGTAGCTCATAACTGTAACTTCTGTTCCAGGGAATCCGACACCCTCACACAGACATACGTGCAAGCGAAACACCAATGTACATAAAATACAAATATTAACTTCAAAATTATTTTTAAAAAGTGTGAAAGCAGATGAAAATAACTAGAATGTGTTCTAAGGAGAAAGAAATGAAATCAGAACTCTGCATATGTTTAGCTTGTAGAGCAGAAGTGTCAACATTGATTCATAAAGCCCGGGACAGAATCCGAAGCAGAATGACATCTTTAGAGAAGCAGCACCTGGACCTGTCACCTGTCACATTTTCTCCACAGCTCTGCATATGTAATGAGCGTGTGTATTCTTTTTTACTAGAGAAAGTGCTACTGATCTGCTCCCAGCTGAACACGTTTTTTTGTAGTAAGAATGAGAGTCACCTGATCCACCCATCCCTCATATAGTTTTCCTTATGACCGTCACTTGTCTCTGCAAGGCAGCTGGCCAGGGTTGGAGTGCAATCCGCAGCCATGAAAAGGACACCAGAGACAAGATTCTGATGCCTAGTTGCCTTGATTTTTTTGGTGCCAGGATCCCAGAAAAATCAGCTTAGCGGGACAAGCCATGTGAGAACGGGTGGCAGCAGAGACAGCAGACAGCTGCTCATGTGGGCTAGGGTGATCATGAAGACCCTTAGCCACTGAGGCATTGCCAAAAGCACCCTCAAAGGCCCCAAAGAACTTTGGAGGAACAACAACCAACAAGAAACTTTTTCATATTTTCCCTGGATATTTTGTGTCTGTTACTATTCTATTGCTGTGAAGAGATACCATGACCAAGGTTACTTATAAAAGAAAACGTTTAACTGGGGGCTTGCTTACAGCTTCAGGGGGCTATTAGTTCATGATCATCACCACTAGAAGCATAGCAGCAGCTAGGCAGGCATGGTGCTGGAGCAGTAGCTGAGAGCTTATGTGTTGAGACAGAGAGAGAAAGCTAATGGGGCCGTGGGCTTTTGAAACCTCAGAACCCACCTCCTCCAACAAGGCCACGCCTCCTAATCCTTCCCAAACAGTTCCACCAACTGGGAACCAACTAATCAAATATATGAGCCTATGGAGGCCATTTTCATTCAAACCGCCAGTCTGTGTCATTAAAGTGGTAATTAACACTATACAAAACCAAACCCCAAACTGGAGTTTAGAACGTTAATGTTAATTAATCTAACACTCTTACAAGGAGATATAACATGTCTGATGCAGTCCTATGGGTCTTCTTGGCCTCTGATGTTCGACGTTGCTGGTCACCCATTGTGGTGACCCATGACCCTTGTTCTCTTCAGAGCTTCCTATCTGCCCATTGTGTAATTCCCTAACTCCTCTACCAGTTCCAAAGGTCTCATCTCCACACCCATCCCATTCCCAGGGTTTCACCTCACAGCTCTAGTGGCTGCTCAGATTTCTCTCTCTCTGGACCTGGCACTCAACTCTCAGAGTCCCATCAAGCAGGCCTTGTGCATCCTTTGCTTCTGTTCACTTGTGTGGCCACCATTGGCATCTTCACGTCCTGCAAACATTAACTGAGGCTTCCCAGGAACTCTTCTCAGATATCACTTCTGCTCCTAATCATCTCCCCCTTCTCTCCACTCACAGTATCTCCTGCCACTCACTCGCTTATAAAAAAACCTGCTATCTGTTCTGTCTGGTGATAGCTCATCTCTTGCTTATTGATTGGCTTTTGTACTTTCTTCTTGCTATATTTCAAACTTTTCTGTGTATTTCTAGGTAGTCCCCAAACGCCATCAAAGATGGGTAGGTAGATAGATAGATGATAGATAGATAGACAGATAGATAGATGAGAGATAGATAGATAGATGATAGATAGATAGATAGATAGATAGATAGATAGATAGATAGATAGATAGATAGATAGATAG